CGTCAATGTTGAACCAGTTAACAGACATAATATGTCTGTGGTTAACACAAATGGCTTGTTTTTCGTTCAGCCTTTTTTTTGGTCCAATCAGATGTGGCCATCTTGACACGCCCATTTTTCTATCGTCCAATCAGATGTGGCACACCAGACACGCCCATTTTCTATTGTCCAATCAGATGCGGCCCCCCAGATGCGCCTTCCAAATTTGTCTGCAGAGATACCTACTTGACCTGAAAGCACTCTTGGCCACACCCACTTCTCTGCTCTGCAAGGAGAACAGCTGATCAGCTGCAGCAGGAAGCTTATTCTGCAGTGTGGGCTGCACAGAGGTGCTGCAGGTAATAAATAATTTGAAATAATTTATTTTAAATACAAATTCCATGCCGATCGTGCGGCGCATCCATCAATCAATGTGTCATGTCCAATTTTATTTTGAAAAAACGCGATAGAGCAAGTCCGTGATATACAAACGATGAAGTAGCGAAGGATTACTGTATATATTAATTAAGGCATTTTAAATCCTTCCCACACTCTTGCAATATTCTAAACAATGTTTCTAAACTCTAAACGCTCTAAAAAAGCACAAAATGTCATGAACTCTCTGCCACGGCTGTTCTCTGTGCTCTCGGCCACACCCACATCTCTGCTGCAGAACAAAGATCGACAGAGGAGGAAGGAGGAGAGAGGAGAAGCTGCAGCAGGAAGATGCAGTGTGGGCTGCACAAAGGTGCAGGTGCTAAATAATTTTAAATAATTTATTTTAAAATAAAAATTCCACGACGATCATGCGGCTCATCCATCAATCAGCCACTTGTGTGTCATGTCCAATCTTATTTTTAAAAACTGCGATAGAGCGAGTCCGTGACAAATGAACCGCGAAGTAACGGACTAAGAGTGAGTTGGAAAAAAAACCTTTCTGTCATCTCTTTTCATGTTAGTTTGTTTTACACAGCAAGTAGTTTCATTGAGTGAGTTGAGATAAAACTGTTTGCAGTCATAAAACATGATTCAGTTCAATATGGAATAATAAACACTAAATGTATTGATACTGAAGAAAGGATTTGTCACATTTTAGTATCCTAAAGTTGTCAAAAACAGTTTCCAACCCTCTGTTCTTTCTGTAGCATATATTCAGGAAACCAATGTGATATGCTTTACAGAAAACTCTAGTCGTTAAAGCAATGCTTCATTTTTTTGTGTGACTTTGTGCAAAATGTATGCACAGCTAGATAATGCTGGGTGCTGAATAATTTATTAAAAATTTACTGATGATTAAACTGTTATCGTATATATGAGGCAGGTGCAGACAGACACGGGGAATATGAGGGTAAAATAAGAAAACAGATTTGTTAACAAACTCACACACAAAAAATAGTCTGACGTGGAAATAAGAACACGGGGAGACACAGAAGAAAGGAGCAGGATGGCTACGAGAAGCACAATCCACGGAGAAAGTGGAAACACAGAGACGCTGAATTTAAAGAGACACTAACGAGACACAATGATGAACACCTGGGGTGATGTGGACTGAGAACAGGTGAAGCAGGAACTGGCAACATGAGCGGAGAAACACCGCGGAGGCTGGAAACACAAGTACAACGGCTCCGAAAAATAAATAAAAACACAAGGAGACATAAACACCACAACAAATACAGATCCTGACAGTTGTTCAAGAATTAAAACACTAGCTAAAACTTAAGTAAAGTTTGCTTTATTTAGGTTTTAGCTAGTGTTTTATTGTGTTCCGTTAAAAATTAAAAGAAGCAAAATGCAATTGAAAAGCTAAAAGAGCTAAGTTTAAAATGCCAAACAGCAAAATGATAGCTAAAAGCTTAAATTTGCAAAAGGATAGTTAAAAGCTAAAAGTAGCAAAATGCTGATCAAAGCAAAAAGTAGAATAAGAAAAATTGAGCATTTGAGCTGAGGAAGATTAAAAAGAAAACAATGTTGTTGAAGCAATCGATAAGATGGATGTTTATTTCAACAGGGAAATCTTTGGAAATGACAAATAAATATTTTGAAAAGTAAAAACATTACAAAACCCAGAAAACTTTGTTCCAATCTCCTGAATGAATTTAATGTTTTTATATAAGAATGGCTAAAGTTGTACAAAGCCTGTAGTACTTTGAGTCCAAAAATTTTGCAAAGAAAGAAAAAAGCCTCAAACAAAACAGACCAAAAAATAAGGAAAACAATAATGGGAATTTAGTGTCAGTGTTCAAACGTATTAATTCTCGAGCTGTAGATAACTCTGTGAACACCTTCAGTTTGGAGAAATAAAGTTCATTTCTGAACGGATTAACAAACCACTAACAGATAATCCAAGAGGTCCAGAACAATTTGGACCATCTAAAAACAAATCCAAACTCAAAAGTTTCATTGCAGAATTTAAACCTTTTCCACCACAATTAATTTTGTTTTACAGACTTATTTACAAAAAATGAAAATAATCTATGATTAATTTCCAACACAAAAAGGAGCACCAGCAGTTAGCAGTAGCTCTTCAGAAATGCACAGCAGTGCAGCCAACAGTGCACTTCTGACAGGAATATTCAAATATAGTGTGTCGAGATAGATAGATAGATAGATAGATAGATAGATAGATAGATAGATAGATAGATAGATAGATAGATAGATAGATAGATAGATAGATTGTT